GGCCGACCGACCCGACGCCTCCGCCCGATTGGCGTGGAGGGTGGCGCCCAGCAGGCTGTCAACGTTGTGCCGCTGAAGCAAGCTGAGCGCCCGGGACCATCTGGCCGCCGCCTTGCGCAAACTCACCCAGGGGGGGGAGGGGGGGGGGGGGGTGAATATTACATCTGTATGTGTAAATATGTATATAGTGTGTGTATGAATATGTATATATATATATATGTATGTAGTCCAGCCCCACCAGACCGGGCCCCCCTCCCCCCCAATGCCCCCTTCCCCATGTGGAATGATGAGTGTGTGCTGGCTGGAGTTTGTTTCGGGTTGGGGGTAGCTTCGGGGTTGGTTTAGGGATGGTGTACGGATCGGCTTCGGGCTGGCCTGGGCAATCTCGAAGGCTTGAATTGAGATGCTTTGTAGGACACCGTGCCGCATTGTGGAGTGGTCTTATTGATGCTTCTTGCGTCGAATCTTGTCATAGTTAGTTGTGCTTGCTCATCACCGGAGGTTTACTAACACCAATTAAAAGCTAGCTTTCCGACATGTTTGTGCGTGATCTGGCTCGGCGGAAGTCAAAATGCAACCCGGAACAAGGTCTCTGGAGGAATCCTTTCCCCTTTGCCTCTTCGAGTGCGCCAGAACCTTCGGCCAAAGATTGTGAGGGGTCTTTGAGAAGCCCCCCCCCCCCGGCAGCGGCCATGGAAAACATATATGGCAATGTTGTCTACGGCCCGGGAAAAAACAAGAAAACAAGGACACCACAGTGTGAGTTGAGCAGGATACTTCAACCCTTCAACGTTAAATCACGCACCCAGCAGGGAACCTTCAAAAATGTTCGGACCACCCCCCGGCTTTTCAGATGGTTAAGAGGTTGGCGACCTGGTTCCACTACGGCAGGGAAACCAACGTTTCCGACATGTGTAACACCCATTCTACAGCCGAAAGGGTCAAAGCCCCAGGGGAAGTGAGACAAAAGCAGTTCACCTCAAATAGTGAGAAACTCAGCCCTACCTTCCCCCTTTCTTTCTTCGCGGAAGTTCCAAAAAAAAGCCGAGCTCTAAAGCCCAACCGGAAAAAAAAAAGGAAACACAAAAAAAACGGATCCTTCTTTAAAACCACCAAAAACCCAGAGGAAATGGCGATCGGTTTCTTAGAAAAGAACGATGGATCTGAAAAGCATGGACAAGGAATCAACCCCGAGAGCTATCGGCGCCTCCTTGTAGGCCCGGGTGGCGAAGAGGGTGTTCCCCTGCTCCTTGAACGCCAAGGCGGCGCTTTCCGCTGCAGAGGCCTCGGGAGGACCGGGTCCAAGTTTCAAAAGATTGGGCGGCAAGGGTGTTCCCTTTTTGGGCTTCCCGCAAAAGCGCCCCAGAAGAAAAAAAGTACCACCTCCAAACAAGACATACCCAGTTTGCAGCTTTGGTCAAACATGCAGCGCGTTTAAGATGTGGCAAATGCAGGAGAAAGTGATAGGAGCTTCTCAAAATGGAGCCCTTCTGCTTGGTGCTTCAAGGGAACCAAGCAGGACACCCGCCATTTTGGGGACCGTTAGTTTGCAAAACACCTATCCCCGTATGTGCCCAGTATGTATTTTGGCCGCACTATGTGTTGGTTTTTTTTGCAAGGCAGCGTTGTGCCAATGACCAACCTCAGGCTCGAACCCCAAAACCACAAGCCCTTCGCCAGCAAGCCCTTCGATTGGCCAAACCTGCCGCCGAGGGGCCAGTGACTCCTTGCAGGGGTGGGGGCAACCTCCGGTTTTGGTGAAACAACCCGCAGCGGAATCCGGTCTAGCGGTTCAAACAAACGGCGGTTTATGTGTCACACTCGAAAAATGCCTCTTTTCGATCCGGCCTGAAAAGGGTGCCAACGCCCAAAACACACACCCAATACAACTTTTAGTTTCAAGGCTTTTTGCGAACCAACCTGATTCCCTTCAAGGCAACAGTCTCACGTCCTGAGTGGATTGGTTGAACAAAGTCCCACACTGTTCTATTTACCACCGAGTCTTCCCCAAAGTTATGAAGTCCAACTCAGGGAGTGGGTCAAGCTAACGGGAAACTGCCATTCAAGGAAGCAGTTGGATTCACTTCGACCCCCGGCGACTCCTTGGGCTCCACCGTTGGGATGGGCGCCGCCCCCGCGAACTTCCGCCAACCCGAGCTGGGCACGTTCATGTCCTCCGACTGCACGGCGTACAAAGGCCGCCGGTCCTGTCGTTTCAAGGGCACGAGGGGGACCCCATATTAATCAACCCCAGTTTGCTGTTGGGGGCTGTTCCCCTCCAAAAGAGATGTGTCCCCACTAAACCCAGGGACACACACACACACCCTATTCACAAACTGGGGTTGATTAACATGGGTCAACATTCCCCTTTAAAGCGGGTTGATGATAAGTTGAAGGGAAGCCAAGACGACAAAACTCACATTTTTAGGAGCCCCCTCGTGCAAGACAGTACCCACAATGTGGTGGGTGTTGCCTGTAGAACTACCTCAACAAGGGGTACCCGCTCAAACATGACACACTCATCTCGGCCATTCCCCTGGGTGGTGAACAAGTGGTGAGGGGGGCTGGGGGTTCAAATCGAAGGGATCTGGGAGATGGTTTGTGGGCATGTCGTTCTTGAGCGGGGTTGGGGGGCGTTTGAGCCAACTAAAACACCCAACGCGGCAGAGGACAGGGTTTCCCGCATGCGCTTTGGGCCAGCGTGAAACAAATCCACACTTCTCCAGGGGTCCATGGCCAGCCCCAATGGGTCCAAGTAACCAATTTGAGGGCTTCTGGCAACGGGCTTGGAAGGGAATTCAAGGCGGAATCACACATGTGTTGACGCTTCCCAACTCAACTGTCCCAACAATCGATCAATGGTCAAGCAACTTGACCATTGGAAGCCCGTTGACCATTGGAAGCCCGTTGGAGTCTCATGGACTTTCCACCTCAGCTCTTGGCGCCAACTCACAAACATTGTTTTACAGTAATATGTGTGGTCTGCATCAAGAGGTCCCAGCATGCTGGGTGAGGTCTTCAGCAAACCTCCGAAACTGGCGTGACACTCGTGAAACAGGAACTGCATAACATGCCCCTCACTTGCTCCAGAAAGGCCACAACCAAGCAATCATGGGGATATGTTCCTGTGTCGGTTTGCTTCTGGGGCCGTGTTTGACCAGCTACTCTGCATGTCCCAAGGCAGCGTGCGACAGTGGAGCAAGCGGCCCTTCAAGGCGAGGGACGGCAACTGGTGTACTGCCCGCAAGCTTAGAGTTAAGATGCCATGTCCAGTAACCAAACCCGAATCCCTGGATGCTGTGGAGGCAACTTCCCGTGAAAACAACTGCAGATTCTCAAACATGGAACCTGAAGCAACCGGGCCATGGGCCCGTTTGGAAACAGACGCCTGATGTTTTCAAAAAATATGGCCGAACGTTTTGTTTTCCCCTGACTTAAGCTTGAATCTCGTTGAAACAAGGTCTGCTTAAGTTTCACTGGTCTTGCAACAACAATGGGTGTCCACCAACATGTCGAGGTCTCCTGGGCCGAAAATCTCAAAACCCTTTGTTCGCTGTTGACCCCTCTGCAAAAAGTGAAACTGTTTGTGGGTCCAATGGGAATTCGGACCTCTTTCTACCGAAAAGTGTGTTTAAGTCCAAAAGATCCGTTACCAAGGGCCAGAACGAAGCAATGCATCAAGAGTAGGTCCTGGCCCAAGATCCATCCATAGGATTTCTGCCCCGTCTTCTGGCTGGTGTGCGGCTCTCGGGAGAGCATACAGAGGCGGTCGTTCTCAAAGACCATGGCCTCGTGCCAGAGCCTCGCGGATCGCGGCTCTCGGGAGCCAGGGTATGAGTTGGAATGACCCCGAGGAAAACCATCCATGGCAAGGTCCTCCAGATTTGAGAGGTCAGAATAAGGGTACCAACTTTCTTTGTTTTTTTTCCTGTCGTCTATTTCAGCAGGGGAACCCTCCCCAAAATCAGAAACGGTAAAAGGGCTTGTGGGGGACCTAGATGGCGTCCTTTAAACGTTAAGGGAATCCCCTTGTGGTGAATCCCCTTGTGGTTCATTCCCAACACCCTGAGGCATTCCCTACTCAGCACCAGCAAGATTTTGGCTCATGCTAAGTAGCTTAGTCTGATAAAGTACCCTACAATCACAGTCGAAGCGACCTTTGTGCCGCTACCCAAGATTCAAAATCAACTGGATGAATGGGGTGTCCCCATTTCAGGGAGGTTTCAGACGTTTCGGGCAACTACCACCTTTTTTTTGCCTCATTCACCAGGGTGATAAATACACGGCCGGCACGTAGAGGGTGCCGGGTACGTGTAACTACCTGTTTGGGATAGACAGTTCACTCGGCTGGGCCTGCGCTCACACTAAAGAAACCAAATCTGCACACCTGAAACTAGTCCGAAACTGAAATGCAAACTGCCCGGCTTGTACCTTGAAGAACTTCCTGCCAGGGTACCCTTTTTTCTGTAGTCTATTCTAGCAGGGGAACCCTCCCCCAAAAAAGAAACGGCAAGAGGGCACCTAGCTGGGGGACCTAGTCAAATATCAGCCCAGCAAAGGGTCCACGATGAGCAACTCGCCGCTCCCACCTGCCAGTGGCCCCATAGAGGCCGTTGGCATCATCGCAGCCCGCGCCCGTCACCAGAATGGCCTCCACTGGTGCCATGGCGACGGATGGAAGCGACGTCTCGCGTGTCCTGCAAGAAACCCATAGGTTTGCGGGACACAAACGCCCCCCTCCCCCCCCACCCGTTCGTTGGGAACGTGGTGGACCATTGGCCGTGCCAATCACAAGACATCTCACTTTGGTGGGCACATTGGTCAGATCTCTTGCAGACATCTCCGGCTACCTTGTGCCCACTCACTATAAAGCACTGATTTCTGCCATGCTCACCACTGGCACTAAATGCTGCGGCATTCACATCAAGAGGCGCGGGAATGGCAACGAGCGCTCGTCCACATCGCTGGCTTAATCCTGTGCAGTCCGCATGGGCAGCCGCCTTCATCCTCTCGAGGGCCACATTGCCTCACCACAAGCAACGGAGAGGGTGAGAGATACAGAGCAACAAAGAAGGAACGAACGAACAAACAAACGAACGAAAGACAGACAAACAGACAGAAAGCAAGAAAAAAAGAACAAAATAAAGAAGGGAATCAACACTATAGACTATAAAGGTAAAACAAGCAACAACAAGCAAGAAGGAAAAAATGAAAAAAATCGACGAGGACTACAAAGGTCCCAATGACCACAGCGACAATCACCCTTTAAGCCCGCACATTGGATTGATTAAGGAGTGGGTTGAACAGGGAGTCCTTCTCGACATGTTCACACCGAATCACTCCGGGCCTGCCACAACAAACGGGTGAACGGGGGAGGTCAAACCATGGGAAGTCGGGTCAAAGCGGCCAGCGGCTCGCTCCCGCGCCTCCCGGCCCACGCCGCAGGGCCTTCAGGCCCCGTCTCAGGCACCGGGGGCTGCGAAGCGAGGCGCCTCGCTTCGAAGGGCGACGGGCGACGGGCGACGGCTGGTGCCTGTCATGGAGAGAATCTGGCCTCGATGGGCTCCAAGTTGGCCAAAGGTTGGCTTGAAATTGGTCCTCCGCTAGCTGAAGCCAGCCGAAAAAAGAGTTCTTTCCCTCCCTGCGTTATTCAAAGTCGGGGACCCTGAAGCTACAATCACTATGTGGTGTAAGGATTAAGGGTTGATTTTGAACAACGCAGTTCGTCAAACTCACTTCCTGAATGGACTGGATGATTACCACTAAACTTGCTCTCCCAAAAAGTATGAAGCCCAGACACTTGAGAAGCGTTTGGAAAAATCCAAGGGCGGAGAAAAACGGCGCAGCGTTCTGAAAAACAAACAAGGGATAGAACAAGAGGCTTGCGGAAAGCTCCGACGAATTGGCAAGCCTTTTGACAGGCCGGGAGCTCCAAACAAAGATGTCTGCCGGACGAGGAGAACCGAAGGCATCTCAGCCGTGAGAAGCTTTCAGGCGGGGTTGAGTCCCGAAACCAAGATTGACACATTTCAGGAAGAAACTTTGCAGTGCGGGGCATGTCCTTTTCCAGGGGTCAACCTTCGGTCCATTGACTTGGGATTTGGTTGCTCGAGAGGGACAGAGAGAGAGAAAGAGAGAGAGAGAGAGAGGCACCGATGGAAAGAGGACACATTCCGGCGCTTCGTTTAGATGTGAACGCCTTTCCATGTGTGCGGGCGCCGTTTTCTTGCCCAGGCTCTCTACTGGCCGTTTGTTCAGCAACCTCCAACTGACGGGCTTTCGGACGGTTTGGCCCACTTGATGTCGTGAGCGTCAGTCACCCCCTTTGCGGTTCGTTAAACCTGATTGAAAAGAACATCTGGACTCGAATTTGCATCAGTCAATGACTTGTTCCACCTTATTTTCCTCATGCTCCCGAGCCCGCCAACCTACAGACTGCAACACGTCTATCTGCGTCTATCTTCGTTGCGAACACCTTGGGAGACAAACAATTTGTCTTGAACAACTCTACTTCGGCACTGGCACTAACGCCTAACCCTGGGCACAAACAACAAAAGTATATAATCAGGCGCGTGCAAAATATACAGTTACTATGCAAGCACTATGAACATCTCCCTGGTGCCCCGCACACTCGGCCACAAAACAACACAACAACATCTACGCCAATGTGCTTGCTGGCCAAGCTTGCCAAATGTCTCTGGTTCTTGCCCTCAGGAACTTGTTGATCCTCAATTTGCCTAGAAACAAACAAACAACCAACCAACCAAACAAACAAACCAAGCAAGCATGCAAGCCAAAAAAAAAAACAAGAAACAAACATACCAGCAGGCAAACAAACAAACCACCCAACCCACCCAACCCCTTTACCCACCCACCAACAAAAAACAAGCAAAGAAGGTAAACGCGCGGAGCCCGTAGCTTCCACGCGTAAAGGAAGCTTCTAAGAAGGGTTCTGAGAGGGACGGAGGGGTCCGATTCATCTTCCTGACCTCAGCTTCATTTCGCAAATTATCCATTCCACCTTTGAAAAACCAAAGATCCACAATTACCTACGGACCAAGGCGCCACTCGTGCTGTCGCCTTGGCGCCGCGCCCAAGAGGTACCAGAGCCCGGCGCGTTGGAGCAATGCGTCCGGCCCTTCTGCGCCTGCCGTCCGGTTTAAAAGCGCCAAGGCGGCAGAAGTGGCGCCGCAGCCGATGTTCAGACGGCCAAAATGGGATGACTCCGCCTGTTTTTGAAGCTCTTTGATGGGGACCAAAGAGAAAAGCGCCGTGAGGGGCCAAAAATGAAGCCAAAGGCGCGACATTGAGGTGCCCGGGCCTTTCACACCTCGAATTGTTCGCCGCTTCAAGGCCTCAAGACGCAGATAAGCGAAAGGATCACATAGCTGGCTGCATATCTGGGCAGAATGTGGACTTCGGTTTGCGGTATGGTTCCCATGGGCAAATGCTAAGCAAGGCGATGCAAATCAAACCCCACAACGTGCATGTGGTAATGTGTGTGTGCGCTGGTCGGCTTGAGGTACTCGGGGTAAATCCGAATGCACTTGTTAGCTCCATAGCAAGCGGGGTCACGGAATTCCAGGTTGAGGTGGCAAGACGTCAGGGTGCAGCTGCATGCGTCACATATGGGGCAGACATCGAAACACCGCTCACGGCTGCTGAAAATGGAGGGGTCGGCGAGTCGGCCATGCGCCAAAATCGAGGGTCCCGAAAAGTAACAAACTACCAATCCCCTTTTGGCTTCCTGAATAATCATTTCTTCTCTGAAAGAATCACGGGAGTTTTGGGAATTTACCGTTTGGGACCCCTGAACGCAAACTGCAAGAGACGGCTCAGTTCAGGGTCATTGCGTCATTCCCTACTGAAACCAGCAGGCCTTGCCTGGCCCCACCAAAGTCACTCCGCCTGCTCAAAGGAAACAACCAGCTTCTGACCTAAACCCCTCGGAAACAGAGAAACGACCGAAGAAAATGAGGCTTGTCTCTAAATGATCCTGGAAATTGGTTGGCTTCCTTTTTTGGCGTCACACAACCACAGTTTTCAACGGTTCCCCCCCCCAAAAAAAAAAGAGAGAAGAAACTTGCAAAGCACCCCGGAACTCGGGGTGGGAGTTTTGCTGAGACGTCCCCCAGTTTTGCCGGTCCCCCGGTCCCCAGCCCCGGGCCCCCGGCGCGCGCGGAGAGCCGCCCGGCGCGAAAGTGCTCGCCACGCAGGTGCGCCTCTGTGGATGGCTTGGGGGAGATGGCGCTGGCCTCGCGATTTTACCAAAGTCACCCAAGTGGTGGGTTAAAGGGAAACCACCCGATTTTCTGACTTGAATAAGAAACACTTGAAGTTGGGAAGTTTGGGGGCGTTGGGGAGAGAAGTGGGGGAGTGGAGAAGGTGGGAAATTGAGGGGTTAAGGGGTTGGGGGTTGGGTGCCCAATTCGACTTAGAACTGGGGTTCGGTCCGGGAGACTAGGGCCAGCAATGCAGCAAGGGTCAGGGCTTTTGATGGGCGGCTGACATGCTTGGGCAGAGGTAGAGGGCGTTCCAGCGGCTGGATATGTTGCATCATTTTGTTGGGCGTCTTTGTTTAACGCATCCCCTTTGCAGTTCTTGATGGCTTGCTAGTGACACCAGCGTCATGTTTGTCTTCCGCCCCCCCCCCCCCTATCCCAGAAGGTTGCATGCGCCTCTGCTGGCCGGAGCTCTATGTTCCAACCCACTTGCTCGGCCATCGGAAGCACACCCGCCAAGCTCCCACCCACCCACCCACCCCCAACCCAACCCAACCCACCCACCCACCCACAACCCAACCCAACCCAACCCAACCCAACCCACCCACCCACCCACCCACCCACCCAACCGCCCACCCACCCACCCACCCACCCGCCCGACCGCCCACCCACCCACCCACCCACCCACCCACCCAACCCGGCCACCCACCCACCCACCCACCCAACCGCCCACCCACCCACCCACCCACCAACCGGCCGGTCACCTCACTCACCATCCAAAAAGTGCCACTCGCCCCACGAGGCGGCCACAGCCCACGCCCTGGAGTGGAGCCGTCGCACCGCCTGCAGTGAAAGATATCCTCCCTCTGGGACCCTGAAAGCGAATTACTTTTTGAGGCTGAGTCAAGAATTGATTGATTGATTGATTGATTGATTGATTGATTGATTGATTGATTGATTGATTGATTGATTGATTGATTGATTGATTGATTGATTGATTGATTGATTGATTGATTGATTGATTGATTGATTGATTGATTGATTGATTGATTGATTGATTGATTGATTGATTGATTGATTGATTGATTGATTGATTGATTGATTGATTGATTGATTGATTGAGTGGTTGATTGATTGATTGATTGATTGATTGATTGATTGATTGATTGATTGATTGATTGATTGGTTGGTTGATTGATTGCTTGATCGATTGGTTGGTTGAGTTCGCTGGTCGGTTGATTGATTGGTTGGTAGGTTGATTGGTTGCTCGAACCATGTTCAGGGGTCGAAAGCCTCTACACCATAGTCCCACGAGGCAGGTTGCATGGGCTCAAATTACTTTACCGGTGGCTTCGCATGAAAGGATGTTTTGAGGGTAGGTGTCACTATGGGCCATGCAAATTGATTTAATGGGGGTAACAATCAGCGTTCGACCGGAAACGTGGAATGGATGATCCTCAACGCGGGCTTCATAATGAAAGGCCAAGCGTTGATCCTGAAAGCTTGGCAGCCCAAGCTGACGATGCCCAACAAATCCAGGATACCATGCAGCAACGAAGCATGATCCTCATAGGTGTCTGGATGTTTGCTCTTGTTGTGTTATTGCTTTGTTGTTGTGGGCTAGTCGTTCGCCAATATGCCTTGCCTTAATGACAGTTTTGATTTCAAGAGGTGGTTGGCCCTGCGGCTGCAGTAGTGGCAAACCTTTAATTGGAACCCCTGGGCCAAAAGCCTATGGATATGGAGGACGCGTGGAATTTGACTACCTCCTGCCTGAGTTCCAAGAACCCTCCAACATGCCCCCTGAGCATACCCCGGGCCCAAATGAAAGCAATGATGGGAGGGTTGGGGCATGCTCAACAGGTATGTTGAAGGCTTGTTAGATGAGTGATCTTGCATTGAACTTAATTTGCAACAACCCAACGAAAGTGGCATCCTCAAAACGAGACATCGACCTGGACCCCCCCCCCCGACCCTTCCAGGGTTCCCAATTTCTCAACACGCAGCGCTGCGGCGCATCTCCTTCGCTCGCCTGTGCTCGATGTTGGCACGTCCGAACTTTGCGCTCACCTTCAACAGCTCAATGAGGTGATGGCCCAAGCGGCGCTTGGGATCCATGGTGAGTGCCGAAGTGGGCTTGTCAATTTGGGGGGAAGCCCTCAGTTTTTTTGCTGGAAAACGTTAACGGAAGTCACCCATGTTGGGATCCGCCAATTTTGAAGAGCACCCCCAAATCGACCTCACAGCCCTCTTGCCGCAAAGTCCGGAACCAATAAGTTGTAGACGTGAGACGTCCCAGAGTCGCTGCGTGGCGTCCGAAACCCAGCTAGGAATTCACAACAATCCTCGGAACCCCCATAGTGTCAACTCCGGAAACTTCAGATTCATCTGGGTGTGGGTCCAAAAACCACATGGACTGACACTTGCGGTTTTGTGGTGTTGACTCATACCCATCTGATGATTCAGAATCATATCAAGGGAGCCATTACTAGTGACACGTTGTGACCAATACTCACTTATCCGGGCCATTCAGGACGAAGTGCCATCCTGAATGGCGCCCCTTGATTTGGCTCTGAACCAGTGCAAACATGTTCTTCACTTCGTCACACGCATAATTACATAATGCTCAGAGTGGTGCTCTGAGTGGTGCTCGGATTCCTGTTTCCAACATCTCATCTCTCTCTCTCTCTCTCTCTCTCTCTCTCTCTCTCTCTCTCTCTCTCTGCTTCTCTCTGCTTGTTGCTCCTGAATTCAGGAAAATATTTTCTCTCGCTCTCTCACATCCTAAATCTCTCCTTCTACACGTTTGTAAAGATTTACTTACATACGTAGTACAGGCGTGTGTCCCACACATAGGGAGGGCTGCGCGTGTGCGCGCGCGTGCCATTGGAAAGGGGTACCCACACCAAGCTTTGCAGGTTGACCTTTACTAATTAATCCCTCAATATCCGTCAGGCTGCAAGAGTTGGCAAGCTAACAATTGCTCGCAGGGTCGCATAGACACCTGTTCCATGAAGGTGTCATTCTTGAGGACGTCATCTACGTTCCTGATGTGCACTTCGCACAGAACTACCATGTGCACGTGTGCGTGTGTATGCAGATATACGTTTAAAAAAATGGAACTTCCAGCATGTACAATTATCGCCGTTTCCCGAAACAGCTATATTTATCGCCGCTTAGCTACGCTCTTTCGCGGGGGAGAAAAAAAACGCTCGCCATGATTCCAGCTCGTGCCAGGCAAACAATTACGCCGGTTTGCCGGCAAAATATGCCGTTTTGGCTGCAAATTACGCCGTTTCAGGTTTTTGACTTACGCCAAAGTGTGCAACCATTCAATAATGCCCGCAGGCGAACATAATCGCCGCTTGGTCAAGAAACATAGTTGTTACCAAAACAGCAATGATTTCGCACAGAATGGAAGACCCAGGTTTCTGCATATTGCACGTCGTATTTGACATCTCCATTTGCTTATCTATTCCTCCAAGTATTGTTTGCCAACGCATCTTCACTAGGTGCTCCTGTAGAATTAGGGTACATCAAATTTAGTAGGGGAACCTTCCCCCAAAAGGGTCAAAGGGCACTACTACTGGGGGACCTAGTTCATATGGGTCTCTTCATATCCTCGCGCACGCGTGAAAACACGTCCCCACGGCGGTTCTCAGAGCGTCATTCCGCCGAGATTCATTCGGAAAACGGGTCGGTGCCGTCGAGCGGAAAGGTCCGGCACAGGAGGCGAGTGGGCTTGAAGGACCCTCTCAGAGGATATGGAACCCATAAAACTGGGTGTTGTCCTTTTGGTGTCCCATTGAAATAGCTCCAAAGAGGGTACCCTAAAAAACAAAAACGTACGCAAATTGCAGCTGTCAAATCAAGCACCCGCAGACATGTAGGTCTAAAACTCACTGGCCATCTTCCTGTGGCCGTCCGCTGGCCCTGGCGGCAAATTCTGGCCCACTGGGCGAATCCTGCGAGCGGGTGAAGAAATCACCCCCGCATCTGAGGAATCGGCTTCACCCAATTTTGGACATGAAATCACTGAATCACTATACCCCACGAGGCACAAGTCTTCACACTGAACACGTGCCTGGCGCGCCGTGCGGGACATTCCCCGTGTGCATTTATCGGTTCATTGGCCGGCGAGAGCCGAAGCTGAGCGACAGAGCCTCCGGCCCTGCTGGGATCCCCGTTTCCCAAGGACCCAAACTTGCGCCCATCACCGCAGAACTACCTGGGTCTGGCTCAAAATTAAAGAGCTGGTTTTAGTCTTTGGTTCCATTTGCCAAGGTGCCATTTTCGGACCACTTTTTTGAGCCACAGCCACCTGCCTACCCAACCAGGCCTGCTAAACGGGGCTGAGGGATGTGGAAGTCGGGATCCCATGTGGTGAGAGTGAGACTTGGTGGACTTCACCTCGTCTCCGATGCAAAAAACGATGCGCAAAACAATACGCCCCATGGCTGCCGCGCCCGAGCCGCGATCGATGCGGAACAAATCCGCAAAAATAAACGTAGGTTTGGGGCCCTTTGGGGCCTGGCATGCCGTAATTATTCGGTTCCTCTGGGTGCCTGGGATAAACAGAACATTCTCAAAGCCAAGGGACCGGCCCGGAAGAGAATCACATGATTGGGTACCTCAAAGCTTCCACGGCTTCCATGTAAGCCGCCAATGGTGCAGTGCAGTGAACTGCTGCCATTGATTTCAAGTGAATCGCTCGCTCTCAACACCCCCATCCTGTTTGTTGATGTCGCCCACTTCGTGGTCGGTTTGAGGCATCCAGGCGCATTCCTTTTGGGCCATGGTTTGGTCTTCCATGTCGCTCTGATCACTTTCCAGGAGCTACGATTCGCAAGCGCGGCTTTCCATGAGCGGGAGATGCCGGGGATGCCAGGGTTGTGGGAACTCCGGTGATCTCAAAATGCACTTGCAATGAGCCCGCCAGGAACAAAGTGGGGGGAAAAAGAAGAAGAAGAAAAAAGCCGTGTGCCCAAGACATGGTGCCATGCCTTCGGGGCCCTTCCCTATCCAAAAAAAAAGAGAGGCCTCATTGCCACAGCCCTGTGACCATCCTAGGGCCTTCGGAAGAACTGCGGCGGCTGACTGGCAAAGGGCCTTCGCCTGGCGCGCCAAAGGCGCCCCTTAGGCCAAAAGCTGGGGACTGACTCTGGACGCATGGGGACAAGCTGGGAATAACTGTCAACTTGTCCTGAAAAGGATTGCAAACAGGACTGGACTTGGTTGCAAAAAACCGCCGAGCAAACATTGTTTGGTGCACCAACCCGTTTTGCCAGACTGGGAAAGAAGCCGGAAAACCAGTAGCAAACCCACAGACCCATTTGCTTGAAGCCTTACCTTGTAATCCTCCGCGGTAGCACGGCCATCCGTTTGCCGCATCGTTGAAATCCAAGCAAATATGTTATGCCTCTGCGCCTGCTATGCTGGCACCCGCAAAAATTCAGAAGCAGAGGTTGGGTGGCGACGAAGGGCAAGATGCTCTCCCATACAAGCCGACCCCGACCGGATTTACCATTGTGCCGCCCGGCAACGCCCCCAGTCCACTTCAACAGCGGGGGAACATGAGCCGCCCTCCCCAAATTGGCCTCAATTTATCCCCCCCCCCCCGCAACTTATAAACTTTGACCCCCCCGTCAAAAAACAACAACAAAGACCACGAGCTTGTTCCTTTTCTGGTTTCTCTTTGAACCCCCCCTCCCATTGAGTCGGGCGGTTCCCTCCCGGCCCCCAATTTTCAGATCCCAAGTTCGCCTGGGGCTCAGCTCTATGGCATTCGGCAGCTGGCACGTGCTACCTGAGCAGTCGGGTGTCCGGTTTGGAGTCGAAACCACCCAAGCAAAGAAGCAAAAACCATGGGCGCAACGGGGGCCAGTAAGGTCGACTAGTATCAACTCAACGAATCGAAGTGGAGACCTTTCGAGTTTGTGGTCTTTCCATGTTGGCAAGGTCCCAACACTTCCAGTTGCCTTCAGAATAGTTATTTTCCCTTGTTGGTTGAAAGGGGACTCTATCACTACTCGAAATATGTTTTTGCCACGGGGGGTCGGGGGAAAGCAAATGGAAGAACAGGTTCACCTTGGAGTAGGCATTGCCAAGTTGGAGTCCCAGGGCTGGCCCGGCTTCGTCTGGACGTTGGTTTCAGGGTTCTATTGCTTTCACGTGATGTTGACCCCGGATTAATAAACCCCTTCTTATTAATAAGGGGGGGGGGGCCACCATGTTCCACCCGCACCACTCGCTTGGGAGTGCGGGCTCCTCTCTGGGGCGCCGGCCGGTCAGCCAAGGGACTGGCACAGAGGCTGCCCCATACCCCGGCGCCTCGTGCGGAGGGGGGGGTGGGGGGGTGGGGCCGAATTGCGGGGGGGGGGGGGGGGATTCGATTCCTCACCCCGCTGGAGTGCCCAACTGCCTGGCAAGGTGGTCAAATCATGGGGTGCTTCTCAAAGAGTGTGAGAAGGCCAAGCCTCCAGGCCTCCTTTATGTCAGTGACTGACCCACCATGCATGTGTTCTTCTGGTTTCAGGTTTAGCGCGCCAACGGAGCTTCCTAGCGAGGTTTGGGCAACTTGCCCGAGCCCACATTTCCCCGAAACATGGGAAGTGTCCTCTTGGTTTGCTTCAACACCCGCAAAAAGGTGGGTTCCCCAAAACAGACACCCATAGGGCCCATACGGGTTTGCATTTGTTTGAGGGATCGCTGTCAAGCTTGGCCACACGAAAATCTCTCGTTTTGTGAGCTCCGGCAGTTTGAGACAAACCCGTCTCCCATTTTGTTTCCACCATTCAGACGCACACCCCGAAGCCTAACTGGGCAAAGACACCATAGCTTTCAGCTGTTGAGGAAAAAGGGGCACCCCCAAAGAATTCTCGGGGGTTCCAACCAGAAGCGGAACCGGTCGAAGCCAGCCTTTGGCGTGCCCAGGGTATGCCGTGCCGGCCTCGGTCCTGACAGGCCATCCCCACTCCCCCGTTTCAAACGACCCATCCTTTTCTTGGCTTCTGGCTTCTTTCTGGAAATGATTGAAGGCTGCTTAGCCACCGACATTTTGTTGGCTCTGTGTGAAGTCTCTGCTTGTATCTTGGTTGCTGGGCCTCTGGTTTCTCTTCTCATCTCCCCCACCCCAATGCCTGCTAACACCTGGAGATGATCTTTTGACTGTGGGCGGACGTCCAACCCTCTGACTGTGCACCCCCCAAAATCGACAAATGCAGCCGAATACACATATGCATGCAACCTCTTGGGGGGAATGCCAACCCAACCCGCGTCACCCTAACCCCATCATGTGCCACAGACCAAGTTGGGCCCTCAACTTAGCCTCTCGTGGGCTCTTAGACTCTTGGTCCAGCTTTGACTTTTATGCCCCGGCACCCCCCCGGAACCGAATCTCCAGAACCCGGCTGCCAGCCATTGAGGAAAAGCAACACTGACCTCATTACTTTACAATTATCAAAGTCACCCCCTAAGTCTTCCTAAGTGATGGGTTGAAGGGAAACAACCAATTCCATTTTCTGACTTTGATCACCCCTAGAAACGGTCAAAATCATGACCCCTGCAACACGTATTGAGTTTCCGGCTCAGACGTCGACACTGGGGTCCTTTCTGGTCCGGCGTGAGCGGCCAGGAGTTCAGCACTCCACCTGCCAGACTTCGAATGTCAGGCTTTGGATTCAGTTCGTAGCCGGTATATTGAAAATAACAAGCCCCAAACCACCCGGCTCCAACCTACCAAGTAGAGGGAAGCATCAATCCTAACCATCGGTTCGTGGATTGAATTGGTTTGGTTTGGATTCAGATTTGAACCCCTTCTTGTGGCCGGAAAGCAAGCCCCAGACCACCTGGCTCCGACCTACCCAAATAGAGGGAAGCTGACCGATTCCCCAGTCCCACGAAGAGCGAATTTAGCGACTCACAATGCGTATTGGCGAATTGGGTTCCTGTTGGGCGCCTTTGGGAGGGACCTCCCCTCCTGGTCCCTGACAAGCATAGGCTTAGATTGTAGCCGCACAGGATTCGCCCACGAAACTTTGAAGGCTGGCTTGAAGGACTACACATTCCCAGCACTCAGACAGAGCCCGTCGACAATTCGAAAGGGGGCTACCGGGCAAGGCCCAGCACATGCCCTCAGGGCGACACTGGAGGGACCCCTTGGTCAAGTTGGATCCCTACACGAAACTGGACCTCATGGAGAAAAAACCATTTTTAGAGGCTTCCGAAACCAAACCGAAACTGGGATCAGGTCTTCACTCCACTTTCTGAAGGGAAACTGTCCACCCCTTGGCATTTGAACTTATCCAGAGGATACAAAACAAACTAATGGCAGCCCGACTCTGAACATTCAACACCAAAACAAAAGAGGAAAAATGAGAAACAGGACAATTAACATACACATTAGACATGAGGATCAACATGTCCACCAAAAACAAAAGCAAGACCCACCAAGATCTCCCAAGCCACGCCTTCGCAACTGCTGGACCGAACGCTTTTCCTGAACCGAATCGAATGGGTGCTACAAAGGCTTCCTGAGGGTCCTATTGCCGTGTTTTTGGGGGGACAGTTTGAGAATGGAACGCCTGGTATTTTGCAGGGATCTCCCAGTTTTGACAAAAACCCTCTTTCCAACAATCATGGAAGTGGGTTTCCACAAGGAAACTAGCCTTCCAAAACCCCGCCTGATTGGAGGGAGGCTAAACAGGGGGTCTGGATGCGTGAAAACAAGTTATCCATCCCCGGCCTAGGGGAAGTTCACAAGGGAGGCTTGGCTGCTTGGACGATTGATCTGGTTGCGTGTGTGATTGGATTCTGGCAGGTTCCCTTTCCAAATTTGTCCGCTTTCACTTTCAACAGGGGCCCGTCAGAACCCAACGGAGAGGAAAAAACAGGGCTGTGGGCAACAGGTACCGCTGACTTTTTGTTTCCGGGAGAAAGGTTTCTGAACGCAGGCGGAAGGCACCTCCTTGCCATGCGCCATCTTGGACTCAGAACCGAAGCCCAAAAGGATCTGAATAAATGCTTAGGTAAACAGTGGTCGTGATATGCACCCACCCATGGTTTTATTGGTGGCCTGCCTGCCACCAAAAAAAAAAGAAACAGTTCAGCGCAACAGTGTCATGGCAGAATTTTACACGTGCCCAAGGATCTTAAAACAACCGTGGCCTCACGCGTGTACTAAAACCAACTGGCGCAAACCAGGCCAAAGGGGCCTGTGAACGTCTGGAAAGGTCCTCTTGCTGGCCTTGTTCACAGACCCGGCTCAGAGCAACTGACAGGACAAACAGAAAAGTCCAGGAAGACTGGCAGTCAATTTGCCCCACCACTTCCAAGCACGAACTTCCAACGTCAAAAGTGTTGCGCATGCGATAAGTTGACCCCAGTTGCGCAAACCTCGAAGGTTCGAGGACCTCCCGAGGCCAACGCATGTCCTCTCTCTAAGCCCCTTTCGGGTTAGAGGGTCATCTAGTTCGATCCACTGATGTTGTTAAGCAAGGGGGTTGGGTCACCCAACTGTGCAAGCATGCGACGTTGATCATGATCGGCAAAGCATGTCATAATTATTCAGCACCCGGAACCGCTGAATATGCGTGCTTGCGCGCGCTTGAGCTTGCGCAGCTTGCGTCTGTCTCAAACTTGGGCTCCTCTTGGGGACTCAAGGGAAGCCCAAAGGACGAGATAAGCCACCACCACCCGAAGAAAAAAACCCTCAAAAACCGACCCAAAGCCCGTTGCCCCCTCCCCATGGCCGAGTTGCAGCTTCCCCTGGCCGTTGCTCTTCCGCTTTTCGGGGGTCTCCTGCGGATTTTCACCTTGTGAGGCTCATGGGTATGGTGTCCCGTCTTTTCATTGGGGGAACCCTTTTTTTGGGGGGGTTTAAATGGGAATTCAAAGGCCTGGCCCTGTCTTTTCATTGCGGGACCCCCTTTTTCGCGGGTTTTGGAATGGAGTTCAAATGGACGCCTCATCCTGGGTCCTGCACTGGGAGCCTCACCCTTCCGAACAGCTCCCGCTCCTCAGCCTTTGTGCCCCGCGCTCTCGGGGAGGGGGCTTGGCCTCGCGGAACCAAGAGCGCCAATATGCATCAACCATGGTGAGAGTGTGGCCCAGTTGTACAATGTACATATTTTATGGTTTGCTTCTCTTTGAGACACTGCCAACATGGAAAATGTATCCTAAGTCTACCCCAGCAACCATTTGTGGCGGTGGACAGATTGATGTCAAGGCGACTTTGCGCGTGGTCCGAAAGAACATCCGATCTGGACATTGGCATTGGCGGTAACCCTCTTAGGTTGATTCTCCATTTGTTCAAACAGGAACCTCTGACGAATTTGCAGGGGATGATCTTGCTTTTCATGGCAAAGGGACCCCCGAACCATTCCCCAGAGGAAACCGAGATCTGCCCATCTCTGCTCCATGTTTGGGCCCGCTCCTGGGGCCCCATGTTTATATGGGGGAGTCTTTTCTTCGGAGAACCCTTTTGGGGTTGGTTTAAATTCGGTGGGATGCCCAAACTTTGAGACACCCCTTGTCCCTTTTGTATACCTTTTTGGTTGAAAGTTTTCACAAGACAAAACAACTCTTTTTGTTTGGGGGGGGTGGTCCCGCACGAAAGAAAGTCACCTCCGCCATATGCTACCTCATAGGTGCTTCGATTGGGGGGTTGTCAAAAAATATGGACCCCTTTTTGCACCTCGTTTGAAGGCGGGCCCCTCATAAACCATGGCCCAAACAGGGTGGCCCCATTTTTGACAACCCTCTGGGTGTCTTTCTCTACTTTTCTGCAGTTTGGGCTGGGGCTAAAGGGACTTTATCCAAAGCAAACCACCAATCTGGGTGGTTGCCCTTTGGGACAAACCGTCCAACATGTTACACCTCCTTTATCAATAGAACCCTCTATTATAGCCTTCGATTTCGCAATTCAGGACCTTGTGACTGTTTTGGGGTCCTCAATTGCAGCCAATTGTTTCCCCGAGAAAAACAAAAGGCTGGGGAAAAACAAAGCAAATGCCACACCTCGGTGCCTGGGGCCCATCCCGGGGCCCGGCTCCGCGTGTCTTCCGCGCGTCTCGCGCGCCAGTCGCTCGCCCGAGGCGTTGGCTCAGCTTCTCCAGCAGCCGCGTGGCCTCGCTGTGGAGCTGCTCCGCGCCCTCCTGCGCCAAACGAGAGCGGCGACCGAGCAACGAAATGACCAACCCACCAAGCAGGCAGCCACCCAGCAGGTTGCTTGGTTGGTTGGTTGGTTGCTTGCTTGCTTGCTTGCTTATTTTGTTGGTTATTGTGTTGGTTGGAGTTGGCATATGTAAAAACGCCGCGAACCAACCAACGAAATGACCAACGCCAGCCAGCGAGCCAACCAGCGAGCCAAACGCCCAGCTGGTCGGTCGGTGGGTGGGTGGGTGGGTGGGTGGGTGGGTGGGTACGTATTTACTTGCTTGGTCTAGTTGGTCTGGTTGGTCTGGTTGGTCTGGGTGGTTGGTTGGTTGTTTGGTTGCCACTGTTGACTCACTTGGAAGCCCAAACAAAAAGCATGTCGTTGTTTGTTTGTTTTTTCTACTGGGGGCCCCCCACACATGCAAGGCGAAGCACGAAACCTCTCTTCGGGGAATCACGAACTTCCTATTCGGCCCCGAACACATAGATGGCAAACACCATCTAAGAGAAGCAAAAGCCCTTTTTGGTGGTTGATGTCCAAGCAAAAGCAGAAATCCCCTCCAAGTTGGAACAAAAAGAGAACACCCCACCCCACAGATTCCGCGAGGCGCCTCCTTGGATTTGGAGTGCAGTTGGTCCTTGAGAGCGGCATTGTCGGCTTCCAAACTCCTCGCGCCGCTTGCCGTTCCCCTATTGTTGTTCCACTTGAAACATTCCTGTGATCACCAAGAGACTGACTGCTCTACTTGGCCCAAACGACTGATGTTTACCACAGAATTAGAAAAACATGTTGATTACACTGGCACATCATGTAACAAAGCCTCAGGTGCGCCATGCCAGTTTCAGCTATCAGCCCCAGCCTTTCCTTGCCCATTGGCGAGGAAAGAAAGCAAATGAACACTTTTGCAGTGGAAATTCGAACCCGACTAAAACACTACGGTGTCGCTGGGAACCTAGGCACGCCAAATAGAACATATCTGTTGGCGATGTGAGACCAGAATTCAAAACTGCAAATTTCAGGTGGGGGGAAACGCAACGCAATCCCCACAGTCCTCTTCTCGACCTCTAGCGTCCGCACCTCCGATCCATCGGATTGGAGGCGTTCCGGGGCCCGATTCCCACAAGAATCAGGGGTTAACATCCCTGAAACACCAAATAGGGCAATGCCAAAGTCCAGTGAAAACGGCGAGGCTGGCTAGACTGCAGCGAAACGCGAAACCCACCTACTCATGAAATAATCTATTGAATTGACACCAGGCAACCGAAACCAACCCCCAATCTGCTGAACTGTTGCATTCCGGAATTGCATTTCTTTCACTGCCAATTGGTGTTGCTTTTGCTTCAGAGAATGGGCATGAATCATGACAGAACAAACAATTCCCTTACCCCAGGGCAGACTTAAACCCAGGGGTGGTTCATTACCCTCAAAAGGAGAACCCTTGGGCTTAAGTCCATTTTGGGATATTTTGGGGTAATCAAAAAGTGGAACCCTGAAACCAACACTTGGGGTACTTTTATTCTTGCTATTTACCCCGCACGCAAACGCCCAAATTGCGGGATCGAGCAGCCGCCTTGTGACAACGCCCCCTATGTGGTTGGAAAACCAGGTTGGACCAAAGGTGTCTAAAGTCAGCGGGCCCAAGATGCTCAAGAAAAACCTGGCAAGAGACCCCCCTCCCTCCCGTGGAATGGAAAATGAAGATACATAATATGTCCAAGAAAGATCGCCTTGGAATGGGGCAAGCGCAAAATGATCAACTCAAAACTCTTGTCGGCGAGAACAAATTCACAATTGCGTTCGTTGCGCGAAGGAACTTGGGATCAAAGAGGACCTATTGAAGTCCAAACCCTTAAACCCTTGTGTTTTCCCCGGTTGGTTTGAAAGGGAACCTATCACTACCGGACAAATTGTCTTTTTTCCGGGGGACTTAAGCAAACGGAGATGGGGTGACTGGGGTTAGTCCCCTTAAGTACCCTTGAACAAAGGGGGGAGCATCTTCATTTCAGCAAATGGACGCCAAACCCTGAAAAGGCACCCAACAAGGAGCGAACCCCCGCCACATCAAACGGCAACCTTTCGACACATCCAGGAAGGGCGAAGGTCTCTGGGCGTTCCCGGCCGACCCGCAACTCAAGGCCAGCTCCCTCTCCAGCGCCGCCGCGTAGCGCTCCGCCGTCACCGCCCGGCGCTCCATGGCCTGGCGCGGAGAGCACGGCACGGAGCGAGCCGCCGGGAATGGCAAGCCCCGCATTCATGAAGCCCAGCTGATTAGTAGGGTGTCCCTTTCTTTAGCGGGGGGCGGGGCGGACGAAACCGATGAGTCTCTTCCTTGTGGATTTATTCATCAGGTGTCCCTGGTTTTCATGGGGATTCAAGCCACTTTGGAGGGGCCCCCGCCACCATATTAAAATAAATGAAACACCGTTCAATTGGCGGGAACGCCCTTCGCCTCTTTGCCACATCCGAGAAACTGCATGCAGGCCGCGAGAACAACATACACGCCCCTAGGCAAGACTTTGGAACGCCCCGTGTTGCATTAGAGGACTGGAAAATTAATCTGTGGACTCCAGCAAATTGCGACGGATGTGTCTGGCACTCCTCGTGGGGTGGTTCTGAAAGGAAACTAGACAAGTAGAAAGGGAACACCGAAAAGAAAACCACAAGTTTGGGGGGGGGGCCGAAGTTTATTTATTGATGTTATAGGGCATTCCGTGGGAACTAAGGGGAGTAATCCGCCGACCCTCCTGCTGTTAGCCTACTACACCGAAGAAGGGACCGGCGTTGGTGTACAACTATTGAACTATGCGCCATAGGGGGAACTCTTCATTTTCCTTAAAATGTGAATTCCCAGGATCTGCACCCAACCAGCAGCAGGGGAGCTGCCCAGAACTGGCCCTGGGGCCGCAATTGCCTTCCTTTTGGATTTGTGCCCGCCTGGCACCGCCGCTCCGCCGCCTCCGTCCTGCGGCCCTTGACCTGACAAGAGCGAACAAGTCCGGAGCGGGAGCCGAAACCGACGTGACCCCAAGCATAGAATGTGGTGGGGGGATGCAAGTCGCCATGGCAAAATATGGAACTTTGTTGCCCAAAAGGTCCCGGAACTAAAAGGTTCACCTTTTGCATCCCTGACTAAATATGGACCAAACCAGGGGTCCAAAACGCAAAAAGGTCGGCTTTGAGCAAGTGAGAAATAGAGAGAGAGCATGCAGGGGGGGGGGGGTGTTGGGGTGCAAGTCGCCATGGGAAAATATGGAATTGGCGGACCTGAATAAATAGACAGAAAGGGACCCTGTAAATAGATTGGGGGGGGTTGGGGTGCTACTTTGTTTTTGCCGCATCCTTGCGAGTTGCATACAACGAAATTGAGCCACCATGGGAAAATATGGTTTGCTCGGCCGGTTTGGGGTACTATAAAACCAAACTAAGTCCTCACCATGTGAAAATATGGCGAGTAACTCGGGCTTTACCGTTCCAAGGGCACCTGGGGTACCGAACTAAACTAAGTCACCATGGGAGAATACTTTGTTGTTACTTCCATATGCTTGAGTCCCTGGAACAAAATGTCCAGTAGAGGAAAAATAATTATAGAAGAAAAACTACAGCCAATGGAAGTCTAGGGTTGCTAGGTTTGTAGGAATATCTTAAATGTGTACGCACCCTTGGACCGAGGTTGACTCAGGGGTAGGGTGAGGATGGGATTTCTGTCCACACCTTTCGTGCCTTCCCAACTTCGTTCTGTTTCCCCACTCCTTCCTTGGGGGGGTGGGGGTCTGCATCCGAAAGCCTCTACGCTTGTGGCAGTTTGTGCAACGGTGGAACTCCAAATTGGGCACAACCAATGGTTGCAGCCATACTGCCACAGCAGTGGCTGACTGATTTGCAGCAACTTGCGGTCTTTCCGAACCCGATCCATGAGCATGGATTGCCAGGGCATGGCTAAAGGAGCGCTTTCAAAGGGGCTTTCTGGAAATGAATGTGCAGACCGAAAAGGGGGAATATACAAACCAAAAGGGGGGGGGGGTAGGGTTGGGGGGCTGGGGGTCCCAGAAGGAGTGTCCCCTCAAACTGCCAATTCCACTGTACCAGCTGAGACTTAGACACAGTTAACAGTTGATGGCTTTGGGGGGTTCAAAGGCGCATATTTGCAGGGGAGTGCCACGTGTTTCTCAGTTGTCTGCGGATTCCCCACCTCCAGCTGCATGCACTGCAAAGACACCAGCTTCGCCAGTTCTGCAACTTCCTCCGCCTGGCCGCAACAGAAACCGACCGTGGAAAAGCCACAAGAAACTCGCCGAAAACAAAAGGCGGCATATATATATATATATATGGGTGTGGCTCAAAATTAAACAGGAGGGGTACGCAGGTTTTGGTTCATGTTTCCACTTCGGCCGCAAACCCTTCAAAGCCATGGCAAGGGGAGTGATGGGAAGGTCCCGGCCCAATCCTTACTGGCCCTCTGCAATGGCTTCACTTGCTTTGGCTCCAACCGGGTCTGTGTCTCAAAAAAGAAAGGCACCACCAGCTGGACTTCGGTTTTTGTCCGCTTCCTTCGGGTAACGCGCCCAAGCCCCCCCCGCCGTCCGCGCCTGGGAGCGGCGCTGCAGGAGCTCCCGCATCAGGAGCCGCACCGGGGCCCCCGAGTCTCGGGGGCCCAAGCCTTCGCCGGCCTCGGCCGCCTCGAAGCCGTCCTCCGCTTTGAGAACGGGGGCGCCATCGGTTGAGTGGCAAAGAACCCGCGGCCAAAGTGGGATGCCCAGCTCCATGAGACTTTCTGGGCCTGGGTATCAGAGGGAATTCCGGAAAACTATAGGGGAGGTGGACCTCCATGATTTTATCACGGAAAAAGATTCCCTGATGATCACGGAAAACTCCATTGAAACCCATCCTTTGCCTCGATCAGCCTGGCATCTGGGCCAAAGCCCTCCAACTTCTTGAAACTGGACATGAAGGAGCTCCCAAAGCGAGCTCCGCAGGCTCCAGCCTACGAAAGATCGAAGGTGGTAAGCATTTGATGCCACACTGTTCCCTGGGGTAGTGATTGTTGAGGTTGGTTCCCTATATGCTGCAAGCACACCATTCCATCCAGCCACATCCGACCACAAGATGCGGGGTACATGAAGAAAACAACAAGGCTTCCACTATTTCCTCATCTCCTCAAACTGTCCGTGCTGCACCATGTCGTCCACCAGTTTACATGTGTGGTTGAAGGGCTCAAGGCCTGCAGCTCCGGACCACTCCGGAGCCCACAGCATCTGGAATGCCATGACCGCAATGCTTCCAATTGCTCAAATCCCCTCATTCTCAACCACCCTCCCTTAATAAAACACATCCAATAGGCAAAACAAGTGTTCTCTTAAAAAAAGAAGAAAAACACATGTGACTATAAAATCCGAGTCCCTCAACTCAGGAAGCGAGAATAACAGCAACCAAAACGGGAAAAAAGAAGAATAATAATAAGAAGAAGAAGAAGAAAGCAACGGCCAACAGCAACCAACCAAAATAAGAAAAAAACGAATAAAGAAAAAAGAAGAAAACACACAACAAAACAACAAAACAGCCCTCATGGCCAACCCTCCCAACATCCGACCCCCGTCCTCCTCCATGGCCGGGTCCCAATCCTCGGAGCCGCTCGCCTCTTTGGAGCCGCTCGCCACGGGGCCTCGCCACGGCCGCGACGAGCCCCCGGAGCAAACCCCCCCCCCCCCGGACCTGTTGCGGCCAGCTCGGAAGCCGGTGGGGGCCAGGAAGCCGCGCGTTTTGCTTCGGAAAAATGTTCAGGAGTGCCGTTTTTTGTTCTTTTCCCCCGAAAAAACCCGGGATCTGAAGACAGAACATCCGGAGGGAATGAGAAAGAACAGCACAACTTGGCTTTATGCTTTGGGGAGCTGTTTTAGTGGTTGCGGCAGTGCAGTTGTGACACCCTCGTCTCGTTTGGGCTTGAGCTTCATGGTGGCTGTTGGGGAGGGGATTCCTTCTGCCAAAGTGGTTGGTCTCCACCTACTGGCTGTCACTGGCCACCGGCCCCACCCAATGGGCAGGCTCTCAGCTCGGATTCTCACAGAAGCTCGGCTCTCAATTCTGCGGTCCGACTTGCTTCCTGCGATTTGGGGATTTGCAAGATAGTGAGCTAGTTTTTGTGTCCCCTCACTCGGTGTTTGCTCGCCGATTGGGCAAATGGATTTGATAACAGCCCGGAAAGATACAGTCAAGCTCCTGAAAAATATCCTTAAACAAATCCCGCGACCCGCGAACTTCGGAAAGAAATTCCTCGCAATCGCTGGGAGGATGGCATTGGTCTCACGAGCCATGGGCGACGACTTGAGGCTGAACAATCCAGGGGAGATGAGGCAAACGGCAAACTGGCGGAAAGCGGATAGGAACATGCAGCAGTGGGCGTCCAGGCTCCGCAAAAAGTCAGGTAGACTAGTTGCGGGGACAGTCCAGAGGATTCCAGCAAATGACAACAAACACACGTCTTAGAGACTTTCACTTTCGGGGGTCGCTCATGTTCATCGGCCTTTCATGGACAGCCCCTACCGGTCCCTGCAAACTAACATGGGGAGCTCAAAGAATGTCCCCATCTTTATTTTATGATTATATATTATTATTTTTGGGGGGTACGCATTTCATTTTTGGCGAAACCAAAAGGAAAACCATGACTTGGGGGGGTTCCCCTAAACACAGACACCCGTATGTTCATCTGCAGGGTGCGCCTGATCACTGGCCCCGCAAGGCCCGTGCCCAAAGTACGACCTTCAATCCACTTCGTCGTCTACGACCATAGCCGGGCCAAGTGCTGCAAAAAAAGAAATATTAACCCTAGGATGCAAAAAAAAAAACTAGGATTCAACCCCATCAAAACAATGGTTGACCCAATTTAGATGATGAAACTCCTGAGGCCAATAATGGTGGTTACACCTCACTTAGAACTCACTTGCCCAAAGGACCCGTCAATAAAAGGTTAACCTTTTGGGACCACTAAAAATAGACCAAGGGAAAACCAAAAGGTCAAAATGTCGATTCGCTTTGAACAACTGAGAGAATAGTAGAAGGACCCTTCCCTTCGAACTCCGCCTCGGATCATCCGCTTCTCCCAGGAGCGTTTGCGAAGTGTCGAGGCGCGCCGCCTGAAGTCCACGTGTGTGTGTGCCCAAAAGCGCCCAAAAGCCATGGGGTTCTTTGTATGGGCGTCCTTTTTTTGCGGGGATTTTGGGGGCTCCACTATTTTGAGACGGATCCATATACTGATTTGGCGCTGCGGGAGACATGCAGCCTAATAGTTCCATGAGTCACTAGGCCGCTCGGCCGCTCAATGCCATGAGCTGGAGCCACCCTCAGTTTGGGTGGTTTTTCTCTTGGCGTCTCTTTAAGCCAACCCGAAAAAACCGCACCCTCGAAGCGCGAAGCGCACGGCGCCGGCCCTCCAGCGACTTCGCCTGGACGCCGCGGTTGCCTCTGGGTCGCCGGTGGCGCTAGAGACCTCGCAAAGTGGCTGGGCGGGAGCCCCTGAGGAGTGGCGAAGCACATGTGATTTTAAAAAAGCGCCTTTTTAGGAGTTTCATGCAAGCGCATCTTTGGGTTGTCTTTGTTGGGGGGGATTCCCCCTTTGGCATGGTTGCAAGGGATATCAAGCGGAAACCAACCATCCAGGAGGTCATGCCCATTTAGAGACTTTGTTTCGATTCGTATGTGATTTGATTTTCACGCGCCAACCAGATATTCCCGTGAATCTTTTCGGATGACACACACACACACACGGTTGTCCTTCGGTGCAAGCTGGAATCCGTAGTAGAACGTGTTTAGGGCCCCCTGAGAAATAGTCCCTCATCATTTTAGTCAAAAGCTTCTATAGCTCTCCTTACTACTGTGGATGGAGAAAATCCTGCACCAGCTGGCACGTGAATTTCGCAGCATTCACAGGGCTTCAGCCATTCCAACTAATGCGGAGCGAATTTTGCTCAGGCGCAGACAGTACAGCAGGATTGTTTTTCTTCAGTTCATTGGTCGATATGGCAATGGTGTAAATGTTGGCCTCTGGGCTTTCTTTTACCAAACATCACACCGCTGCAAACTCACCCCAAACCGGGGGGCCTGATCCCCGAAAGGAGATTCCTCGAAAAATAGCGGTTCTGGTAACCTGCAGGTGAGTGGTGGTGTTTATTCCTTTTAAGTTTGCATTGACGTATCAACCCCTTCCGCGAAACCTTCCGCAAAGCTTCCGCGGTGTGAAAGAAGTGTGTAGAAAGAAGCGCTTTCGCGGGCCTTCCGCGGGCCTTCCGCAGGCAAGTTTCCTCTGGAAGTGAGGAAGGTAGCTTCCGCGAGGAAATTCGTCTGCACGGTTTGTTAGTAAACGTGCTTGGCAACAACCACCCAACCGAAATCAAACTACCGTCCGCAAACCTTCCGCGAACCTTCCGCGGCTGCAGTGCGGCGCTACCTTTCTTTGTTGATATGTCAACATCTATACCTATTTGCTTGAGCGGAAATAAAACCCGCCACTCAGGTGAATAACCCAGACCGGTGAATAACCCAGACATCTGCATGTTTCACAACTGCAAAAACAAGATGGGCTTCCAGGGTTCCACTGATTGACTACTTCACGATAGACTTAAGCCCAGAGGTTCTCCTTTGGGGGTTGTGAACCACCCCTGGGTTTAAGTCAAATTTAAGGGTAGTCAAACAGTGGAACCCTGATCATAGGTGTCCTTTTCGGGAAAAAAATAGATGGCCCTGGTAGTTGATTGACTGACCAGGAAAGCAGGGCCCTCTATTTTTAAACCAAATCAACCAATAAAGGCACCTATGACCCTGATCCCAACGTTTTGAAAAACAGCCAGGTGAGCAAAAGCAGCCCAATTGAGCCACCGACCATGGCCATCAGCTCATTCATCCTCGCCAGGAGCTCGTCCACCTGACTTATTTTTCCGAATGGGTAGGCAACAAGCAATTGGGCCCTTAGAGGGCCCCAAGGTTTTGATAACCCCCCCAGTTGATCGTCTCCCACAGTGAGCAAAGCATACCGACCAAGTTTGCACACACAAGGAAACGGGTCGGCAAACTATTGAAAAATGCCCGAAACGGTCTTTTTCTCCACCATCAAAGGGTCGCTTTTTGTGTCACACCCTGGGATGGAGGAGCACCTCAAAAAGCACAAGGTGTTCCCCCCCCCCCAACTGTTTGTTTCCGAAGAAGGTCTTCCCAAAATACTTGAAGACTTGAAGCCCGCGCCGCGTGCATCAAGGGGCATGGACCCGCTCAGGGGTAGGCATGCGAACACACCGGACAGCAAAGAAGGGCCCCCTGTAGAGGAGGACACACATCAGCCCCGCGCTCGATCCCTAAAGAGGATTGGAATGGGAATCTCGACCAATCAGCTGATCTTACATACCGCGGCAAGTGCCCGTCTGCCAAAGAGAGCCAGCAGGAAACCGGAGGTAGCTGGCCCGGATTCCGGAAACAACACATGCTTGGTGCGGACAGGGACACGGGACTCAATGACGGACTTGACAGCGTGGTCCTGGGTTCCCGGTTGATATTCTTAGGCAGAAGGGAAACCGGGAATCAAAACTACTTTGGATTGCCGAAAACGGAAGGTCGTCATCCTTGCCCCGCTGTGAGACACTGCAAGGGAAACCAATCCCATCACACCGAGCGATTTATGTTGAAAAACCCAAATGGGTGCCTTTTTCAAGGGAGCCTCCCGCAATGAATGGTGCTCCTTTTGGTTCCCGTCAAAACCCAACAACAAGGGCCCCCCCCAAGAAAAAAATACTTCGCTTCGAGCAATCCCCACCCTCCACATTCACGATCTTACAACCGTGAACACGGTTGTGTGAATTCAAGCATGGTTTTCGAGTGGCCTGGGGCCTATGACTGCTCAACAAGCGGGGATTAAACAAAGCTGCTTATTCACAACCCAAAGCAACACAAAAACATCACCCTTTCCGAGCCTCAGGGCACACTCAAAACACGAAGGCACCAACATGACATGTAAATCCAACTGTGCGCCGGGCGGGACATTAAGCAAAACCAGACTGGCGAGCTGCTCTGGCGGGATACTGGCGGGAATACTGGCGAGCCGCTGCGGCTCGATTGGCCGGCAAGGGATACTCAGCGGGATACTCGGCGGGATCCACTGGCGAGCTACTCTGGGAAACTCAGCGGGATACTGGGCGGGATCCACCGGCGGGCTGCTCTGGTGGGATACTCGGCGGGATCCACTGGCGAGCTACTCTGGGCGGGATACTCGGCGGCATCCACTGGCGAGCTGCTCTGGGATACTCAGCGGGATACTTGGCGGGATCCACTGGCGGCCTGCTCTGCGGCGGGATCCACTGACGAGCCGCTCTGGCGGGATACTCGGCGGGATCCACTGGCGAGCCGCTCTGGCGGGATACTGGCGAGCTGCTCTGGGGCGTGGTGTAGAAGCATCGCACACGCGGATTCCAACATAAAATCTAACAACCCCTTCCTGTCGGGTGAGGAACTAGACCACGGTTGGCCCGAAAGCATCACAGCCCCGTGATCATTCCCGCGCAATTTTTCTTTGCTGGATGTGCAATCTGTCAGCTGCAAACAGCCATCAGCTACAGCAACAGGAGCACTTCACTTGCGAAGGAATTTCCTCTAATCTGGAAGAAGAGAAGCACTTCACTTTTGCTTGTTGCTCGCGACCTGCGGCTTCAGACCATGTCCTTCTCTTCAGACCATGACGAGCCGCGCCTGCCTGGAGTCTAGCTACTTCGCACTCCATGATATGCGCTTGAGCCGATGCTGAGATAGCACTGCCACAGATTCGCAAAACCTGTTCCTGCAATCTTGCCACCTATCGGACCCCTCACACGAGTTTGCCAAGCACGTCAAAGATGACACATATACCGCCCTCATGCAAAACAGTGACTACAACGCAAATGACTCTCATGATGACTCTGTGCAATGACTCTCATGATGATTCTTGTGTGATGACTCTATGCAATGGCTGTCAGGATGACTCTGTGCAATGACTCTCATGATAATAATTCTCCCAACGGAACAACCTGACTTTTGCTCTGCCCAAGTTGCCCTGTGCTAGCTGCTCTGCGTAAGTGCTCTGTGGAAGTTGCTTTGCGCAGGTTGCTCTGCGTAAGCGCTCTGTGCAAGTTGCTCTGCGCAAGTGCTGCCGGAGCTTTTTGAGAAGTACTTCGCACACTAGTTTTCTACTTGAAAAGTTCCATTATGCAGCCGGCTGCAGGACTGTACTCCGCGTACTACATTTGTACTTAAAAGTTGCGATTTTGCAGCCGGCTGCGCGTACTACGTTTGCACTTGAAAGTTGCGATTTCTGTCTAGAAAAGCTGCCTCGCGGACCAGGCGGGGATCGAACCCGCGACCGTGCGACTCCGAGAGCAGCCGCGCAAAGCACGCGACAACTTCCAAAGACCAGATCGCGAGCAACAAATTCGCACGGCGCCACAGCGAGAGCGCTTCGACACGCACGATCCCCGAAGAGGGTTCATCGCGCACTTTGCAGAAATTCACACGGCGCCGCAGCGACAGCGCTTCGACCACGCCGATCTGCGCAGAGGGTCGCGCGGGAATGATAAAACTCGAACATCGACCACGCCGATCTCCGCAGGCGCACACATTAAAAAACGTAAAATGTCCCCAGCTTCTCAACATCAGCCACGCGGGTCTCCGCGGAGGGTCGCGCGCACAGATCAGAAATCGGAAAAAGTCCTCAGTTTCTTAACGTCGACCACGCCGATCTCCGCAGAGGGTTGATTTTCGTAGGGTGCTGTCGGCCCTACCCCGCCGCCCTAAGAAGAGAAGAACGGAATTTAAAACTCCTCTCATGAGAACTCTCATGAGCATGGCTCCTCGCCAGTGACTCTCACGAGCATTGCTCCTCGCCAGTGGCTCTCACGAGCTTTGCTCCTCGCCAGTGACTCTCACGAGCATTGCTCCTCGCCAGTGGCTCTCACGAGCATTGCGCCTCGCAAGTGGCTCTCTGTGCAATGACTCTGTGCAATGGCTCTGTGCAAATGACTCTGTGCAATGACTCTGTGCAATGACTCTGTGCAATGGCTCTGTGCAAATGACTCTGTGCAATGACTCTGTGCAATGACTCTGTGCAATGACTCTGTGCAATGACTCTGTGACATGTCTCTGCGCAGTGACTCTCATGATAATGATGACTCTGTGCAAAGACTCTGATAACTCTTTGCAATGACTGACTCTCATGATGATCTGATAGCTCCCATGAACCCAACGGAAGAACCCTTCGCCATGCTTTCGGGGACAAGAAGGGAGCCAAACCCAAAGAATTCCGAGCAGGGCTGTGGGAAATGACCACTTCTGTGACACAACAGAAAGGGCTTCCCAAAGACTATTTTGTTAATAGAAAGGGGAATTCCCTTGTATCACAGAAGTGGGGAGAAACCCCTTGATCCCACAACCCTGATTCCGAGAGCCCACAACATGCAAGCACTTTCAGGTCGCCGCTTCCAACCACATTTCCCCGTGCGCCTTCTTCTCCTCCTCCCGGTCGGAGTCCTCATCAGGCGAGGCCTCAGAGCTGTTGGATCTGCCGGGAAAAACACCCCCAGAAAAAAGAAGGCGCACGGAAAAAACGAGACCTGCTCGAGGCGGGCGTCTTTTTTTGGGCCAAAGAAACCCATCCCCCAACATGCGGGAAGAACCCCTTGCGTCCTGACCAGAAAATCCAAGCAGCGAAAGGATTGCCGAAGAGGCCACCAGCCATCGCCAAGTTCGCTTTGCATGGCCACCCGCGCGTTACAGCGCGTACCAAGTTGCTATTCAATCGCCAGGCAAGTGCTACGCTCCTTTTCCGTTTGCCTGCTTCACACAACAGGCCTTCCCCTGTGTGTGTGTGTGACGTGCAGTTGTGTCTGCCTGGTGGTTGATGAACATCTGCTTGAAACAAACTACGCAAAGGCCTTTCTCATTTGCCTACCGGCCTGCACCCACCACCTTCCAGGGGGCAAGGCAAATGGGAGATCTGGAAGCTTGTCAATGACCCGGCAAACTCCGCCGGTGGCAAAGGTCCAAACGGGGGGGGGGGGTCTCAAAATGGTGGACCCCTTTTCAATCGGATTTTGCTTGGAAACTAGAAAGAATCGACCCATGGTTTCCGGGTTCCCTTTGAGATGTTTTGTGCATGAACCCCCTGCGAAACCATGAGCTTTGGGCCGAAACGCCACCGTCAATCGATCCATTATCTATCTAATGCTGGCTCGCTGGTCAACTCATCCCTCACCTCGCCCGCTCCAACTCACGCGAGTTTCGCCTGCCCTCGCAAGGTCACGCCTTTACGAAGGCAAGAGGGGCCTCCCTGACTTGATCCCGGGTGATCCCGGGTCGCCAGCCGCAAGTTCCAGCACGCGGACATGGATCGAAGCGACATCTTTCACCAAAGGGGGCCCCCAACGTTCGGAAGAGTTCGGATCGGCACAGGCGAGCCAAAGAAAACCTGGGCAACGAACAAATGGGGAAGAGGTTTGGCTCAGACAGCTTGATTCATAGGGAAGAGGCTTGGCTCAGGTTCATACGGGGGTGCGGGACCCGGGGACCCACCCTCCATTCCTTCCACCAACTCGCTGGCCTTGTCCCGCGGCTTCGGCTCCGGGGTCTTCGGGTTTCAGGGGATGGCCAAGTGAAAACTCAGGGAGTGCCACTTTCACCCCTGTTTCAATCGAACAAGCAAAAAGAACGCAAGAGGCCCCTTCTGAAAAAAAACACGTCCGGTAGAAACTCTAACCTGACTGTGGCCCAACAAGTGGGTGTTGAAAGCAGGCCAAAGAAGTATAAGGACCCCGGAAAAGTAAAGGAAAGGTGAGAAGCTAGCCGGATCACGGTGTGCTTCCTGTGTGTCTCAGGCGGCTTGGATGTCCTGAGCATCAAAATCGGGCAGAAAAGCCAAGATCCAAAGACGAGCGGGGGACGTTGCCAAATCACTCGCCGACTGCAAGGATATCAAACCGACAGTCGCTTCAGCATGTTCGAATGGCCTGTAGTGGCCAAGGATGTTGGTGAAAAAGCTCAGTGCTACATATACATATATAATGTGGCGGCTGGGTGTGTGTGCAGCTCATGACAGAGTGGTGACTACGAGGGCCAAATCGAACAACAAAATCGGTTGACGTGGGGTACTACTAAACCAAATATGATCATATGTGTAGTTCCAGGCCCACGGCCAGTTGATGTTCAACCCGTCAGAAAACTGAAACGCCCCACTGGGAGTCTGGGAGCAACCCCGACTCACTCCGCGCTGAGGCTCTAGGATCATCGACTCGGCGGATTTCAGCACCTCAGGGGCCAGAGATATAGGGGCTATCTCCACTTTCGAGCAAGGCTGGCCCGGAAACGAAAGGTCTACCCCTTTTTCTGGTTGATTCCCTGGATTTATAATACATATATATATATATATATATCTGGAGACTTATTTGTTTATTATTGATTTCTCTATTTATTTGTCTATTTATTTACTTACCCATATCTTTATTGATGAATTTATTTATGAATTTAGGAATTTAGGTGTTCATTTATGTTTAAGCCAGGCACCGCTGAAGACCCTGGCCACTGGGCTGAAACTCTGCCCTTTCTCGGCTTTACCCCAACTGGGCCAACAAAACCCCTGACCTAAACCGCCCCTTCAAGTGAAGGATGCCCAAAAGTCGGAGGACCCAGTTGGGCACCATCAAGCTCGGGAAACAAAAGGAAGCCCGCGGCCTGGCCGGAGATGTACCTCACGGAGCTGAAGATGGAGTAGAAGACCCGGAACCTCGGGTCGGGCTCGGAAGATGTCAGCTGGGTCAGGGAGGCCATTTCTGGAGGGGCAAGCCATTTTTGGGATGGCGCCAGGTGAAAACCAGAAGCAAACCGAAGCCTGGCTGCTGAAGGGACCACCACGCAAGATTGTTTAAACCACAGGTGTCCAACCCAAGCTTGCCACTTGGCCTCTGTTTCGAAACGACAAAAGAGACGAAGATAAGGAGCCGAGATTTCTCTACATGTCCTGAATGTTTATGGAGGTGTGGGGTGGAAATCAAGGGTTTATACCCCCTGAAACATGAAAATTGGAGGAGTCACACTTTGGAGGTTGAGCCGGGGAAGCAATAAGCAAGCCAGCCTCCCATAAACCCAACTGGGGTACAAAAAAAAAGTTGGGGTACCTCACCCTCCAAATGCATCGCTTGAAAGGTGTGGTCGGAAAGATCCATTGGGACTGAGAAGGCGGAGGCTGTCCGCATTCTTTGCACTGCTCCAGGTTGACTCGAAGTGGTACTGTTGCCGCCTTTGCGGGGCAAGGTTGGCGTACCTTGAAGAGGAATTCGAATCACTTTTGAAGCCATACGGTTGCCCGAACGCAAATCTCGGTGCGGACCCCCAATGCTCATCCCAGATTTCAATAGAACCTGGTGGACAAGTGTGAGGAGATGTGTCCCTCAAAAGGGAAGTCAGCCCCGGATCAAAATCAACCAGTTCAGTAATCCTGAGTCAACATTTGCAGCAGAAGATGCACCCGTTTGCCATTTCAGGCCCTTCTGTTGCGTTGGGGTGTGCTTGTTGGGTACTTTCTGCTGGTGGTCTCAAAGGGAAACAAAACCATTTGAGGGGTGTTCGCTTCCGATTTTTAGACTGACCCTCGTGCAAATTACAATAGAACAAGGAAAACATACGACTCGCATTTCTAGAGACGGACATCCGTGTTTGTGGGCTCTGGCACTGCTCGCTTTGGCCCTGAACCAGCCATAAAAGACCGATGATCCAATTCAAGGACGCCCATGTTGAGCCAATTCTACTTCAGCTTTTGCGCCAGAACCGAAACTACAATACTCGATTCTGGCCCATGCTTTGTGAACCTGAGCTGGCAACACAATGTGAAAATATTTATAAACAGATCCACCATGTCCACTACCACCTACCATTGGTGGCCTTTTGTAAAAATAGATGGCCCTGGTAAATGGAACCAGCCCCATCTACAGCGCCCTCTATTTTCTCTTGTCAAACCAACCAAAACGGACACCTATGCCACCTAGCTCACTCGATTTTTCTCCCGGGGGCAGGCCCACAATCATCAGCACCCCAGAGATCACGATCAGCGCCGTGGGGTCCGAGTCATCGGTGAACTGCCTCAGCTCCCGAGGAACCCGAAGCAGCCCCCCTGGCCCCCGAGTCGATGTCGTGGCGTCATTCGTAAAATATTGTATAATATATATGTATAGATCGTTCTTATAATTATTAGTATGGTTATGTTTTATGATTATTCTTATAATTATTAGTATGGTTATGTTTTATGATTATGATTATGATTATTATTATTATTATTATTATTATTATTATTATTATTATTATTATTATCATTATCATTATCATTATCATTGTTATTGTTATTATTGATATTATTATTATTATTATTATTATTATTATTATTATTATTATTATTATTATTATTATTATTATTATTACTATTATTATTATTATTATTATTATTATTGATATTATTATTATTATTATTATTATTATTATTATTATTATTATTATTATTATTATTATTATTATTATTATTATTATATTATATCGATTGTAAAAAAAAAGGCTGGTCCAACACCCCCCTCCCCCCCCCCAAAGAAGAAGAACAAATCTCGAGCTGGGCGAATTAGAACAAGTTACCATGAACTTGGCGCGCTGCCTTCTTGTTGCCGTTGCATGACCTTCAAACAAAGAGGAAAAATAAGGATAACTGAACTCGGACATGGACGAGAAAGCAAGCGTCATCATGGCGTCCTCGGTCGCAAAACCCTCTGGCAGCCGAGGGCGCAACGCCCTGATCCACCCAACGGGGGTCATATTCCCCCATGTCCAACCAAGAAGCATCACTTGAAGGGTGATCCTCAAAGCCGCCAGGGAATACAAGGAGCACCGGGTCATCAAATTTCACACCAGAGCGCAAGTTAGTTGGGCGAGAGACTTAATTTGACCTTACCTGAGGATTCCTTTCTTGCAGGTTTGCATGTTACAGTACCCAGACATATGGTGTGCAGGGACGGGAGTGCCGAGGGGAGAACTGCTTCGACCAAGGCTTTCTTGGGACCCGAGGCGGGAATGCGCAATGCCTAGATGTTGGCTAGACGATTGCCGTGCCCAGCAACAACACTTGGACTCTTGTGGCCAATCCAATCAGGAAGTGAGGTGGGAATCTGCTATATGTCCAGATTAGCCACATTGAGTCACTGATAAAATTGTTGGTAGTCTACTGTGCGTTTGGGGGGGCCTTCGGGGGACAACAGACCTCCCTCAACAATAACCCAATTGTCCGATGTTTTCTTGGGGGACAAGATCGGTTTACGTTCAGGTGAGTGCGGTATGCGTTGAGATGTCCGTGACATGGTGAAAAGTCGGCCATGGTTCTGGCTCCCTTAGGGATACTTACGATGTCTAATTTCCCAGTGTGCCTCCTTTCAGGGTACCCTTGTTGGTAGGTTTTAAAGAGAAACCCGGAGGAAAATCACCCATCTTGAGGGTACCCTCGGTTCGGAACGAAGTCGCATCCCCGCGCTTTTTCTGTCTCTGCAAGCCTTCGAATGTCGCGGCACCCAAAACTCGCGGAGTGGTAATCCACAAGGCTCCCTTAATCACAAACACTGGTACATATAATAATAATCTTTATATATGCCTAGTTGCGCACACGCACACACATGCACTCATGGGTGATTGGAATTAGCCTTTTACTGGTGGGCTCTAATGAGCCTACCCACTTTTGGCGGTGCACCAAAGGGAGACCGAGTCGGACCCTTGTATTTGGAATGCATGTCTTGCGCGCATTGTTGGGCAACACCACCTCTCTTTGTGGCATGAGGGTGGTCCCGCGGTTGGTTCGGTTCAACACCCGGGCTCGCTTCATGTTCGGGGAGCCAATCATTGAAGTTTGGGTTTTGGGCGCCTCACTGCTCATGCACCAGCGGGGCTCTCTGCCTCGAAACTGGATTCGGGAAGGCAAGGGTCGATAGCCAAGATTGCGCCTCGCCCTAAGATGCTGGTGGGCCGGCCAAGCTGCGCAAGTAGCCGCGCTACAAACTGCCCGGCCGTTGACTGCCTTCAAACGGGAAATGGTGCGAACCCCCCCCCCCGCGCAGCTCCTGGCACTGTCAGAGGGCAAAAAAAAGCAAACATGGCAAGCGGAAAGCAACGGCCACAGCGCATGAGATGCCTCTCTGGCTGACTGTGAGGTGGCCCCTTGCTTTACCAATCTCTGGTGGTTTCTTGCGGGGTGTGCTGAACCAGCGACGACCCTAGTGTCTAAGCTACTACTCTCGATAAAGAAACCTCCAAGACGAGGGTACGCCCTTTTGAGGATACACTTTAACTTTAAAGCTGCTGTCAAAGTGAACCCAAAGGGAACATCAACTTCTTTGGCAGGAACCCCATGCTTGCAGAACCCGCGAGGCTTTGCAACTGGCTGCACCCTTGCCTTCCACAAGTGGCAACCGCTGTGCCGGTGCGCTTCACACTTTGGAGCTAGTGCTGCGATTGAAGGTGCGGTCCCCTTTCCTCGGAAGATCCATCGATCCAGCCGCAGACCCCTAAGTTGAGGAGGGGAAAACGAAAACTTCGCGAGAAGGAACGGGTTCAGTTCTGATCCTTGGCCGGGAGCATTGGCTTGCAAAGCTCTTTCCCGGATTTTGCCCCCGCCGAGCTGGCTCTGAAACTAGGGTGGTCAAGCAACTTAGGCACTAGCTTATGACCAGCTTCTTTTAAAGGGGGGTTATGTAACCCCAGCCCAGTTACCACCATGGTCGCAACCTGCTTACCAAGCCGGTTGAGAAACCCACCGGAAGAGCCCCGGCAAGTGAGACCTGATGTGGCCTTCTTTTGGCCCTAAGGCTTGATACACCCCAACCGTTTTGGTAAGCTTCTCTTTCGCGAATAGTTTGTGGCTCCCTCACCCGGATGTTGCTAGTGTCCAACGTGAGTGTTCAAAAGTGGTCCGGGTAGAACAAACGAGTAATTAGTCTCTCTCCTCTTGGTGGTCTTTGCCTGGGTTCTTCAAAATGTAGGAGATGCCAAATCCCAATCCGAATCTGTGGGACACAAAAAAACAGGGGAACCACTACTGTTTAAGGATGGATTTTGAGCTTGCCAAATTTGGGGAGAATTCGAACGCCAGAAGAGCGAACCTACCTAGGTTGCGGGGTCCTGGTTGGAGATCCAGAAGCGGAATTTTGAGGGACCCCTGAAAACCAACACGTCAGCTTGAGGAGAACTGCGGTGACCCCTGCTAATTCCCATTGATGAGTGGGTCTTTGGGGGGAATCCCATCTCTTGCGGGGAAGCGCCAACTTCCTTACGTGGACGTGCCTGCAGCCCACCGAACCTGAACCTGGTAAACACCTGGTAAACGCCGGCAGCAAGTCCCCTCCCAGTTTGCCCCAGTGACGCGACAAATGTGTGTGTGTGTGTCTTTTGTGAGGCTACCCTTTTTGGCATGGTTTTGAAAGCCTGAGGACAACCACTCATTTTGCATGGGTTCCCCGACTGCAAGACTCCAGGGAAACAGGATCGAGCTGGGGCTTCCCATCTGGCTGGTCAAGAATAAGTACCCAACATGGCTTGCCCTGGGGAGCATGGAGCGTGGACCAAAACCCCGCGGTTTTTTGCTGGTGGTCTACTTTTGACCCATACCCATCTCCGGAGATAAACCCGCAACCGGATGCCAACCGATTGGCCCGAAATCCTCGGTGAGCAGCGGTTGGCGAAGTCCCCTCGGCCGCGTGCGTTCAAAGGCTAGATGTCTTGGTGGCTGGCGAGACCCCCCTGCAAAAAGCTTCACTTGTTGGGGGTTTAGTGGATGCCCCCTGGATTTCCCAAAAAGCTAAAGTCTAAAGATCCAATAGCAGTCAAGATGCGTATGTCCAGAGATGAAAACCCTTGTATAAACCCCTAGCTTATGGGGGAACTAACCGATAGGTATGGCTTAGTTCATGGTAAACCAGCCCCCAAAGGTCCCCAACGACCCATGGTTTCATATATGGACCTATACAATCAGCCATTGAATCGTTGTTGCTTCGTGTCTTCGATTGTGTTTGCTTGGTGTTGTTGACTGCCTTTGCATTCGCGTTGGCTTCAGCGACCTTGAAAATGCACCGCCTTATGATTCTTAGCCATACGGCTCCATCCAGGCGTCTTAGCCTTGCCCTCTGGATGTCCTCCGAAATGATTTTACCTCAGCTTCCCCCTGTTAGGTCGATTGGTTTGGTGGTTTGGAGGTCAGGAAGCAACTTCTTGCACACCCTGTACAAGAACCAGGGATAGAATCCAAGCCACAAATTAACAGTAACGCCTGAAAAATGATCCTACCAACGCGACTGGAAAAACGACGCCTGGATGCAAAGCGGCGGTTTATCCAAGAAACTGAACCTTTGACATGCTTCTGTGCACAAGTGTTGTTGAAAACCAACATGGGGCTGCTGTGTGCGTATTTTGGAGGGTGCCGTTGTTGGGACTGTATTGGCAGGAAATCAAAGAGAAATCACCCATGCCATTTTTCTTGCCGGGCTCGATAATACTCAGATGATCCTCCGTTATCAAAACTGCTGGCGTAGACATTATATATATATATATATATATATGTATGTGTGTGTGTGTGTGCGTGCAATTATTTACATGTAAAAAAGGACAACCCGAACTGCGCAAATGGGAGACCTAAGGCCTCATTTCAAGTTGTGCTTGTTGGGTATCATTTGGATTGGTTGAAAGGGACAACACCGTTTAAAAGGGGTCCGGATTTTGACACGTCATGTGCTTCGCAAAGCCCACTTCCTTGCAGCTCAGTGCGCTTGCCAGATCGTCCGTCCACACCTGAGGCCCACCAGCCAACACGTCTTGCCTTTTGGGATGGGTCTTCCGTGGTTGATCCACCGAACCCGTGGAAGCCCGCAAAAACGGGTGGTGCAACACGGAAGTCGAAAAGCAGCGGCAGAAACTTGTGTCTTGAAGCGCCTGGA